ATTTGATGCTCTGGGAATTCTATTGTTTGCTAATGATCATAACATCAAATTCTTTCGAACCATGCACGGTCTCATCTCGCTTGGCTGCTTTCCGATTCCGCTCTGGAATATTAATTTCGGCCGTATGAAATCCATTGTTTAGTTTTGAAGTAGATTATGCACTATATTTAAATAATCTCAAATATCTCATAATTAGCTTGATAGATTTTTTCAAAAATCCCTACAAATGGAGGCATCTAGTATATAATTATGTGGTAAGAAGCATTTTAGTGTTGAAAGCTCTGCAAGGCTAAAATTATTTTCTAAACGAAAACAAATATTTCATCATAATCACGTGTTATAAATGACGTCCGATCTCATTAAAAATTGCATCAAGCATTAATTCAATCTTTATGTGACTTATGTGCAAAAAAGATTTGCAATCGGATAAAACAGGTTTATGCACCAGCGTTCCAAAAGTGGAAGGTAGCGGTCAAGCGTRAGGGGGTCCAGCCACCTTAACTTCCAAAAATGATGTACTTGTTAAACCATTTTAATTTCGATTCTAAAAATTTTAATTTTAAAAATGTTTACTGTTAACCGGCTCAGAGTAATATAGCAACCGTCCTCACTTATGGGGTCTCGGTTGTTTTAGAGTTCAATGCAATCTGTGTGTTATAGCAGTGTTCCGCCTTAAAACGGCCTACATTAGAATACTCTATATAGAAGGTTGCTTCACTCGAAAGCACTTGCTACCCCAGTCACACCCTACACATCCACATATTACTTGTTCAATAATATTTTGTCTGTCTTTTCTTTTTTGTTTGTGAATATATATTATTATACATTTTACTAAGTATCCCAATTCTGATTGGTCGAGAGCCCTCAGCCAATCCCTGATATCGTGTGAACTCGACATGTAAATGTATTTTCTGTAGGTTTTCCTACAGATAATACATTTATCATGTCAAGTTCATTCAGCTCACACTGTGGTAGCTCACGCTGTTTTTATTCATTATGTGTATTTATTTCCAGAGTTATGTACAAAAACAATTATTTAAGGAATCCTTAACTTATTTTCATATATTTTATGAAGAATTCTTAAAATATATTTTTGAATTAAAATTTTGCGTTTTTCACGCGACATCATGGCGTTGATAATTCTTGTCTCTATAATTTAATGTTCATGTTCATGTTTTTCCAGTATACAAAATGTATAATAAAGCAATTATATTGAATTCGGTATCGCATAATATCGTAAATATCAAGACCTTGGCTGTGTTATCTGCCTCAGCCTTCGGCTTCAGCGCAGATAATGACACAGCCTCGGTCTTGATAATTTACGACATCATGCTCAACCTCATCCAATAATTGCTTATTATACATCCTTGTAATATTTTATCTTTATAGTTGGAGTTCAGTGAAGTTGAAGAGGTTGTTTGTTGATTCGATATGTGAGTTAGCCCTGCTTTGCGGACATGCAATGAACTTTATTTTAAAGGATTAAACGCGGTATTAACCCCAGCAGTTATCTGACTTATGGCCCTTAGGGTTTGATGTGTGAGTTAGATCTTTTAAAAGTATAAAATACGGAGCGCGAATTTACTCTTTACATTGTTCATAGTCAAGAATAGCCGGGGTACTTACCGACAGTCGAGTATAGTGATGATAGTCTTGAGAGGCTTTTATAAGGCCAGAATATTCGTTCCCCGTCCAATTTGTCAGCAGCTGACATTCGTACATACCATCTTTGTCAGGCCTGTCAGCTATGTTCAGTGATAAACAAGATGGTACACCACCACAACTCCAACAACACTGAAAAATATCCAGTACTGTAATGCTTTGAATGATGTCACCATCGAGTCTGAAGAAAGGCATTTTGGCGAAGAAAGATTSGGAAGATTCAACGACGCTGAAACTTTTGAAAAGGAGAAAAATTTGCAGTAAATAATGTACTCTGGATTTGAAACTTTTGCAGACCATTTTGAGTCCTTATCTTCTTTCTTTCTCTGTCTTTCAGTAACTTTGGAGGCACAACCACAGCGAGAACCAACACGACACTGGCCGAAATGGGTCCGTCAACACAAAATAAAGCAGTAAAAAATAAAAAAATAAAAAAAATCTCATTACATTTTAATATCATCCCAAAGTGCTTAGCAGGTCATATCTTTAATGAACGTTCTCTCAGGTTAATGTTGTGTTGATTATAATATCAATGGGCTTAAKCAGAAAAGACGTTGATATGAATGAGTTCAAAGAAATAATTTCCTTTCATAGGGTTGGTATGTGGTACCAATAACCTGATATTTTCGAAAACAATTAATGCTCCCGCCAGTAAGTAAGCTGCGCCTACAATAACCGTAAAGGAACTTTTTTTAAACGCTCTCCAGGGTGAAATTTTTAAATGAACCGTTTTTGTGTCTTGCTTTCAGCCGGAGAAATCGGAACTTATCGGAAACGATGATACTTGTTGTTGTGACAAATCTAGAGAAAATAATCACTTGCATCTGATGGTCTTTCAATAACAGCAAAACGACTGAAAAAACATTTAAAGYGTGTAGACAACTTCTTATTCATTATTCTCAGTATGGATTCTACACAAAGTGAATAGCTAGTTGAATAGCAAAATATCCGGACAAATTGAGTGGTCTTTAAGTTATGAAGATTATAAAACATTAACTTACGTCCCAGCATGCAGTGATTTTATGATTCGGCATTATTTATTATTGCAACTTATCATTTGTGGGCAGTTATTTGCAGTTATCTCGGCCAATCAAAACGAAGGAAATAAATAATTTGAATAATAATATACCATACTTGAGCATTCGCGATAGAGTGACCACAGTAAATCCGTGAAACTTTAGTAAGGCTAAATAGCACAATTTCATGCAAATTCCATTGTTTTCTATTGTTTAATTAGCACTATTTTGTACTATTTAGTAATTAGTGTTTCACGGATTTACTGTGGTCACTCTAGTGAACCCGCTATTCTGCTAGGCCGTACGTAATAAACTAGAATCAATGCAAAATTCATTCTTTAACAAAAACGTAATCCACAAAATGTAAAATGTTAATTCCTCGCATCCGTAAAATAATATTTCGAGCCATAAAAAACTACAAAAGTGAATACTAAAATACAGTTAATTGCCTTTGAACAGTGTCATGTCTTATATTATAACACTCTGCAAAATTACTCGATTCTGATTGGACAAGAGGAGTACAATTAAATCCCAAATTTCAAAATTCAACGAAAAAGAGCTATCAAATAAAATTTAGTTATGGTTCAAAATAATTTTATTCAGCAGAGTTCAAGAATAAGTATTGTGATTGGAAATTCCGTGACAGCGTCTAGGAATATTGGAATACGCACATAAAGCATTGCTCAAATATCAATACACATAATATTATTGATAACCGAACGAGTACAGCTACCGATAGGGGCAGGGGAGGCTGGAACGGTCCTGATATCAGTGACAAGTAAACTTGACAATTTTTGACATGAAATATATTCATTCTTTATTATGTCTTTTTCACAAGCAATTAACTGAACGAGGCTACCACTGCCAGCTGTTTTTTTTTTTTTTTTTTTTTTTTTTTTTTTTTGATAACCCGATAGCCAATCCATTTTTGTTGTAATCAACAGCGTTTTAGTTTAGTTTTGATAATTATATTCACTAAATAGGATTAGGTTTTACCATAGTTTGTAATATTTTCCTGATAAAGGAAGCGGTTGGTATCCAAAAGGGGGAAAAAGTGGAAAAGTCACACAAAGTATTTAAACTTATTTTTCCGGATTAGGAGCGCAACGCACAATAGTAGCAGGGTTCTATCCTTTAAGTGATCGCTCTGGTCTAGCAGCTTCACTTTTCTTGCATTCGCCATAGGTGACTGCATATGGAAGTAGCTTTGGAAAGTACTTTTCCCAGAAAGCCATTCTTAGAGGATGGTACTTGCTGGCCAATTTAACTACCTTCCCTTGGTTTTTCTGGAATTTTAGGTACTTTTTCTTAGCTGTGTCGAATGCAATCCACTCCGCAGGCATGCTAGGACTATTAGGGTTACCAGATTTAGCGAAATTGGTGAATAGGGTCACCATCTTCTTACTGACAGCTCTGTCATCATCATCAAAGCGCAGGTTCGTTTTGGGTGATTTTAGTAACGGTAAACCAAACTTGTAGGCAGTTGTATCTTCATGCATTACTCCCTTCCATGGTTTTCTTGTTGTAAGTGTACGCGAGCGATGGGCGAATTCAAACATGTATGTAGTAGCACCATGCTTGCTATGAAAGGACAAGACTTCATGGGTAGGCCCTAAAACCATGTAGTCACTCCGCATATTTACGACATTCTTTCGATATGCTCTAGATCTTTGCAAGTCCCCCCAAGGCGTGTACTGAAACGAAAGAGCATCAAAAGCTATTGGCGCCTGTTCCTGGGAAAAATGTATGAATTGCTTAAAAAAATTTCCCAGCTCCTTATTGTACTCAGGAATATTACTCATATTAGGATTAGAAAAAGCATTGACTCCTTCGTTGCTGACAAAGCCTGACAACAATGGAAACTTTTGAAACTCTCCCCTATCTAACAGATTTCTTGGTTCATCTGTCAGAAAGTGATTGTCAACGAATGGCTGCATATTAAATCGATCTGTATTGTGTTTGAGAATAGCACTGCCGGACTTTGATTGTAAGCATTTAACAGTTAATGCTGAGTTTTGTTTTTCGCAGGCGAAAGCCCTTATCATAGTTTTGCTGGCTTTTAAAACAGTATTTTTTGGTTTTAGGGCAAAGAATGTTAGGGCAACGCCGCTGATAGCTATTCCGCGATGGAACAGATTCTTGGACAGAGGTGATAAATAATGTAATGAGACACTCGATCCTCCTGCGCTTTCACCAAGGAGAGTGACGCTACCTTTATTCCCACAAAAACCATCGATATTGTCTCGAATCCATTTAAGGGCTTCTATCTGGTCAAGGAAACCCAAATTCCCCGGTGCTTCTGAGTCCCCCGTGCTAAAGAACCCAAACGCGTCGAGTCTGTACTGGACAGTGACAAGAACAACACCTTGTGTTGGAAGATACTCGCCTGGGGATACATCACGAATAGGGGTGCCTGCCACATAGCTTCCTCCGTGGAAATGGACCATCACTGGATATTTTGTCTTGCACTTCGTACTTGGGGTATAGATGTTCAGATAAAGACAATCTTCGCTCATATTTTCACTAACGTTAAACCCAGGCCAGGCTTGCTTTATAGATAAAAGGTAATAATCTAGCTGTAAACAAACTGATCTGTAGTATGTGGCGTCGTAGTCATTTGGTCTTGRTTGACTGCTAAGAGGTTGTGGAGGTTTGAAACGAATTGGACTCTGCGCATATGGAATACCCAAGAACTTGTACACGGTCTTCGTTTGTCCATTGTGTAATTGAACAGCCTCTTCTTTCCCAAGTACATCACCTTGTTGTGTTGAGACTCTTATCGGTGTTACAGACGCGAGTAAAACATGATGATGCAGGAGAGAAAGGAAGAGAAAGATGTACAGCAGTGACATCGTTGTGTAACCAATGTAAGTTCTGCTAACAGCTGATATTCTCTGATACTGTCTGGTGAAAGTGTCTCAGTTTTATGTCCTACCAAACAAGGTGAGAGGTGAAAATATGACAAATATGTAGCCCTCTATTAATTATGAAGAGAAAACCTGTTGATTCATTTAATTTGTTTCGCATGAACACCTTCTCTGTCATCAAGGTAATACAAGATTAATGCCAACATTCCCTGGTTGCACGAAACATGACGGACTGTATAAACAACATTTTTGGACCATGTTTTAATTTTACATCAGAGAATTACAATGTGAGAATTAAATGGTTCATTAAAGGGAGTCATAGTTTTTCGGCTGTTGTTGAGGTCAATATTTGAATGTTTTTTTGCTCTTGAATTTTTATTCTTATTTTTATTTTTATTTTTCTCTGTCTTCCCTTTTTATTTGTTTCGGGTACTCACAATTGGCTACTGTGTATTGACTAGGAGGCAACTAACATTTGAAAACTTAAATGATATTGGAGGTTGTATTTAAATCTTTTTTTCTGCTTTCAGGTGGTAGGAAGGGTGAGACATCTTTGAAGACTTATTTAATTTGACATGTTTCGACCTATCAGTCGCTAGTTGTTTATGTTTGTCTCTCAGTGAACTCTAAAATGACAGGCGATTGATATTGAGCAATTCTCGATCAAAAACGTGAAAGCTTTGAAATACGGATTCTTTCTTTCTTTCTTTTCTTTTTAATTTCACTTTGCAAGCTTGAGAGACAAAATATTGCAATATTTCTTCTTTCATAAGTTGTTAATTAAGAAATAACTTGAAAGTAGAGAGGGTAATGAGGGCTTTCTTTTAGAATATATGACAAACATTTCACGGTGACATGTCTACGAAAAATGGATTTTTCCCCCATCTCTCATTTTGCACCATAACTTGAAGGGGTTGTTGTGAAATCTTAGCCAAAAGGCACACTAGGGACAAAACTTAACTTACAAGAGCTTTCTACCTCTTTTTACAAGAGCTTTCTACCACACGAAATTCTCAACTTTCCTCGGGAGTAAGAAGCTGTCTGCGAACGAAKCAACAGACGTTTTTCGGATTTAATTTTATGTTTATTGATTTGTTGGTTAATTTGTTTGGGTCTCACACGCGTTTATACGTAGTCTACTGTCTCCGTGTCGAGTTTGAACTTTAGTGTATCCTTTATTTTAAATACTTTTTATTCCATTCTACTGGTGGCATTTCTTTCATAACAAAGCAACAACAAAATAATTTACAAAACCGCTAATGGATTAACGATAAATGAAGTTGTATAGGATCGAAACAGGGAAAGGATTCGAAGAAGCTTTTGACATTTAACAAACTCTGAAAAACTACATAATCTTTACTATTCTCTTATATCATTTTGTTTAGCATTTTATCATTTTGGCCAGCGTTTATCAGGTTTGGTATCACATCTTTATTCAATTTTCCAAAAGAAAGCTTTTCTAATACTTTTTTTTTCTTAAGATGACCAAACTAATCCTCTTTTTATATGGCCAATATTAAAGATTGAGGAACTTATTTACTTGTTTGCCTTCAAATTTATTGAAAAAGTAAGTAAAAGTGTCCAAATTCATTCCACACTAGAATTGCATATTATTTGATAATAACATTACATCATAAAACTTCGAAGTAAAATGACAACATGGTCCCAAAATGTTGTTTATTCAGTCAGTCATGTTTCGTGCAACCAGGGAATGTTGGCATTAATCTTGTATTACCTTGAGAAAACAGGATGTGTTCATGCGAAACAAATGAATCAACAGGTTTTCTCTTTATAATTAATAAAGGGCTACRTATTTGTCATATTTTTACGTCCTACGTTGTTTGGTAGGACATAAAAATGAGACACTTTCACCAGACAGTATCAGAGAATATCAGCTGTTAGCAGAACTTACATTGGTTACACAACGATGTCAGTGTTGTACATCTTTGTTTTCCTTTCTCTCCTGTATCATCATGTTTCACTTGTGTCTGTAACATCGATAAGAGTCTCAACACAACAAGGTGATGTACTTGGGAATGAAGTAGCGGTTCAATTACAYAATGGACAAACGAAGACCGTGTACAAGTTCTTGGGTATTCCATATGCGCAGAGTCCAATTCGTTTCAAACCTCCACAACCTCTTAGCAGTCAATCAAGACCAAATGACTACGACGCCACATACTACAGACCCATATGTGTTCAACCAAATAGGAACAAATACATGCCATCTATAAAACGAGCCTGGCCTGGGTTTGACCTTCGTAACAATATGAGAGAAGATTGTCTTTTTCTGAACATCTATACCCCAAGTACGAATTGCACAAGAAATTATCCAGTGGTGGTCTATATTCACGGAGGAAGCTATGTGGCAGGCACCCCTATTCGTGATGTATCCCCAGGCGAGTATCTTCCAACACAAGGTGTTGTTCTTGTTACCATTCAATATAGACTCGGAGCGTTTGGGTTCTTTAGCACGGGGGACTCAGAAGCACCGGGGAATTTGGGTTTCCTTGACCAGATAGAAGCCCTTAAATGGATTCGAGACAATATTGGTGGTTTTTGTGGGAATAAAAGTAGCGTCACTCTCCTCGGCGAAGGCGTCGGAGGATCGAGTGTCTCATTACATTATTTATCACCTCTGTCCAAGAATCTGTTCCATCGTGGAATAGCTATCAGTGGTGTTGGCTTGGCTCCTTTTGCCCTCAAACCAAAAGCCACTGTGGTAAATGCCAGTAAAACTCTAATTAAGGCTGCTAGCTGCCTTAAATATAACTCAACATTAATATTACAATGCTTACGAGGCTTAAGCATTGGAAATTTGGTTAATGCCAATACAGATAAATTCAATGTGCAGCCATTCGTTGACAATTACTTCCTACCAGATGAACCAAGAAAGTTATTAGAAAAAGGGAATTTCTTTAAGCTACCACTGATGTCGGGCTTTGTCAGGGACGAAGGAAAAAACGGTTATCATCAATCAAGCATGAGTAATATTATCGAATACGAAAGGTATTTGGATAAGTATTTTTTCCAGAAAGACTTAAATTTTACCAAGCAACAGGCACCCATTGCTTTTGATGCTCTTTCGTTCCAGTACACGCCTTGGGGTGACTTAACAACGTCTAGAGCATTTCGAAATAAGATCTTGGATATGAGGGGTGAATACTTGGTTGTCGCGCCTACCCATGATGTATTAACCTTCCATAGCAATCATGTTGCTGCTACATACATGTTTGAATTCGCACATCGCTCTAACCGCGCAAATACCCAGGAAGATACACTGCCCTACATTTTTGGTTTACCGTTGTTGAAATCACCAAGAACGGACCAGCTGAGTTTTGATGCTTCTGGCAGGGTTGTCAGTAATCTAATGGTACTCTCATTTATCAATTTCGCCACATCTGGTATCCCTGGTAATATCCATGGCTCGAGAAAACAGTGGACTCCTTTCACCGCATCCAACGAAGCTTACCTTAAAATCTCCAAAACGAGAACGACTGTCATGGCCAGGAGGTATAGTTCACTAAGAGTGGCGTTCTGGAACAGCTACTTTCCGAAACTATTTGAATGTAGGAAACAGAAATCCTGGCATGGCCGATGCAAGAAAAGCGAGACTGCTAGACCATCACAATCACCTGACGATGAATCGAACCCCGCTACTCTTGCAAATGGAGCTCAATATCCGGAATTAGGACTGTGGTGAGAAAGTGTGAGCTTCCACCCTCTCACTTTGGAAACCAACCGCCCATCGGAAAATAGTACAATTATACTAACTCTATAACCAAATAATCTAAACAAAATAATATCAAATAAAGCTAAACATAAAACATTGAAAGACAGCAGCATTGTCGGTAATTTTGGACATTCCAAAGCCCGTTTGATATAAACTGCTTGTGAAAAAGACCTGAATGAAAATCTCTATGTCAAAAATTATCATATTAAATATATAATGATAATAATGATGATAATAATAATAATAATAATAATAACAATTGATGGGTTGCAAGCATTCCCAAGAGAGTTAAAAGACAAAAACATGGCGGCCATTGTGGTGCCGTTAACAATGGATGCTAATGAGAAATCTTTTGTTAAATAGCACCAACATGGCCGCGATGACGTAACGTGCAATCGAAGAATTAAAAAAAAAAAAATAATGATAATAATAATGAAGAATTTATTCGCACCTTGTATATATACAAGGTTTAAAACAATAAATAAAAGTGCAATGTTTATCGTTACAGGCTGTCTAATAACCATAAGGCTAGTAACTAGTAAAGAAAACCTAAGATACTATAGAAAATTACGAAACCGTGCGTAGTGTCGGCAAATAATTCACAAGGCGATAACCATAATAATTTTTAAGAAAATAACATAATTGAGCTAATAAATACACACGCAGAGAAAAAACTGAATATGAAATAGAAATATAAAATAATAAAATAAATAAATAAGAAGATGTTACAGTTGGATGTGTCTAATTTGCATTTTCTAATTTGTTTGTATCGGGTTCACGACATGATATTCAATGTGACCTGCTTTCTAAATCTGGATTGGCTTAGGCCCTCATTAATTATTCATGATTTTTACAAGTGATATTATAAGATGGACTTTGAACTCTGTAGACATATAGTCTGTGCATATCAATGTTGATATTGAGTTTGTGTTAACACCATCCAAGTCAGTCAATTCACAGTACTGCGACGGGGTTGCTTGTGATATTATAAGATGGACTTTGAACTCTGTAGACATATAGTCTGTGCCTATCAATGTTAATTATGAGTTTTGTTAACACCATTCCATTCATCAAACGAAATTACTGTGTCAGGGCTACTTGTGCTATTACATCTCATTACATATCTCTTGCGGTAGTCTGTATATATGAATGTCAATAATGAGTTCTTTTTAACACCATCGCAGTCATTCATGTCACAGTACTGTGACGAGGTTACGTGTCATATTACAAGATGGACTTTGAACTATGTAGCCGTAGTCTGTGTCTATCAGTGGCGTGCTTTGGCAGATTGTCTTTTGGCGAATATCTTTTAAAAAAAAAGGGATATACAGTGTTTATGAGATTTTGTTTTGATTTTGTTTTGTTTTGATTTTATTTGGTTGGAAATAAAGATATGTCAAAACGTACTGACATAAGTTCATTATTCAAACATGCAGATAGAACACATGCAGATGCCGCGCGCGGAGCACCCTAAAGAGTGGGGGCCTAAGATTGGAAAATATGAGAGACTAGAAAGGGGGGAAGTAATGGTTTGGGGGTGTGCCCCACCCCTCCGCGGACCCTGGAGCATCCAATTGCAGATTCATTCTGAAACTTTGATAATTGCCCTATTTCACTATGACGTCACATCAAAACAATCTATTGTTTAAACGCAAAGGATCATGGTCGTCGGA